CGCCTTTGGCCTTTTGTCAATGACATTACCCCTGTTTGCCAAACATTTATGGTGTATTTACGTCATTTAGATGTTTGTGACATGTGACAGAGTAATTTGGTTTATTGTTGAAATGCAAAGTTATTGCTGTTGAAAGCTAAAAGAATAGTTTAATGCAAGCGCAGACAGTGCTGGTCAGAACTCCAGCGCCAGGTGTCTGGCCCCGAGCGTTAGCCAGGAAAAGAAAAGAATGATCGTAAAAGGTTTATGTAGAGCTCTATTTTGAGATGTTTGGAACGCTTTGAGTTTTTTCACTTGGACAACCCCCCACCGCTCCATCTCCCCCTCGACCCCCTCTCCATCCAGACGGGATACTCATTGTCCCCTAGGTAATTTGAGTTTGAGACCCTGGTAGAGCTTGTCATGTAAAATTCATTCCAACTTAATTTTTTGGAAAAAGTGACAGCCCTACTAACATAACTTCACGGACAAATTTATGGCGGTTTACTTTATTAACGTCATAAACCATGTATAAGGTACACGGCGTCTTTTTTTATATATGGTCTGTGGTTCACATTATTGATTCAAATGAGCCCCAAAGTCCAAAAGACGAGATGTAAAAGTCAACCTGTCTGACAGCATGAGTAGAAAAACAATAGAGTGTGTAAATGTAATATATCACAGCTGTGGCTCTGCGCTTCATCAGCCTGTCAGACCACACTCGGGGTTTACTGTTGCTCTGGGTGAGCTGAGGTTTTCTGATAAAAGTCCCACAGTTTATGTGGTACTTTATCAAATCTCTGATCGAACCCCAGCCTCACTGATGATGAAGAAGTAGTCTCTCTGTTTCACGGGACATGTCTCTCTGTGGGGGATCTATAGGATTTATTTTAATGTCAATAAACACCAGTCTGTCCTGGTGAAAAGACAAAAGAGTGAAACTGCAACACGTCCCAGTTGTTTCTCAATAACTGGAGTTTTTAAGCTGAAAGGTTTGATCAATTTGCAAGTCAGCGCTCAGAAGATTTAAATTTAGCGCTTCCGAATGATTAACAATTTTAATCTCATTAATCACCATGTAGCTGTGGATTAATCATGAATAATCATGATGATTTTTACTGCACTGCTTTTGACAGGGTTCGAGAGTTTCCTTGAATCGTTTGACAAATTTGTCGGTCAGCTCTTTAGTTATAAACTTGAAATACAAAAAAAAAAAACCATACTTCCCACAGTGTGCGTAAATGACAGCTGTGTATTTGAACAGTAAAAGGCTAGATGGTGAAATTACAGGAAGTACAGTGTGTGTCACTCTACTCCTGGTCTTGGTTGATGACTCTGCTCATTCCTCGTACATCTGTGGGTTTTCAGTTAAACAAAAGTCGGAAGTCTGGGTTGAAAGTAGTTGTGAACAAAAAGAGATGGAAAAGAGAAATAATGGAAGAGTTCTTTTGGAGGGAGTTACTCGTCTACATCACAGACCACAAACTCTTCACCCCGGAGTACAATTGGACACATGGATTTTATATTTTCTTCTTCTGTTTTTCATTTACTCTGCTGGTGTGAAACGATGAGTTTCGGTGTCCTCCAGCTCGGCGCGCTGGCCGCTGACCTCTCTGTGAAGATGGTGTTTGGTCCAGGCCTCCGCTGCCCTCGGTGCGATCTGTCAGGCTGATAAGCCTCTGATGAGCTCCGCAGCTGTGAAATATAAAGCAGAACAGACTCTATTGTTCTGGTCTTCAAACTGTCTATTGTGTTCAGCGTCTGAGTTTCAGACTGAGTTCTACTTAACACAAGCACGGGCCTTTACTGACATGTCAAAAAAAAAAAAATCACAGATTCACTGAGGTGCCTTCAACGCTGAGTGCAATTTGAGCGCCCCCATCTGATAGAACCAAACTGGCTTTCTCACTATTTCCCTTTACCAACAGGAAACATTAATTTGTAAACCCCCCGACTTTGTTGCCCTCCCCCCCAACATACACATGAAAAAAGTCCACAGAGATTTAGGAGGTTGAGACCCTGTGGATCTGAAGGTTAACTCCAGCCTCGTGTGGTGAGTTTCTGCAGCTGAGATAAATCTAATAAATAATATGTTTGAAATTAGAGCAATGGACTAACAACTCTTGTAATCTGTGATTAATAATCTCAGATTGTCTTGGTGGAGGAGAATGAATATTTGTCGTCCTTGTTTCCTCTGTCATATAAATATATTGCTTAAGTTAAATAGGATAAAGATTTGTTTTCTTTTTTTCCTTTTAAGTCCATATTTCTTCCACACCAGTGTCCAAAAGAACTCTTTCTTCAGCTTCACCTCAGTGACACCAGCTGACCACCGGGGGCAGCAGTAAACCAGCAGTCTCTGTGTCCTCGTGATTTTAAAACAATTTGTCTATTGACTTTGGTGTGGGAGAGTGAGGGGGTTTACAAACTTCAGTTTCCTGTTATTTTGCCATGACTTTTCCCTATGTTTCCATGCTAGGCTAGGCTAACCGAGTCATTAGGATGATTCATTCAACTCCTCCGTCATGCTCCAGTGGCATTGTGGGTCATAAAATGGTTTCCTGGATGAACTTCAGCTCTTTCTCTCTGTGTGTGTGTGTGTGTGTGTCTGTGTGTGTCTGTGTGTGTGTGTGTGAGATGGTTTATCAGCTGACAGCCAATCGAAGTGCTGCCACAGGCGGACGGGTGTGTTCTGTTTACAACGCACCCTGGGAAATTAGGGTGTGATGCTATCTGCAACTGTGTGTGTGTGTGTGTGTGTTTATCAGCAGCTGTGTTGGGACAGAACAGAAATGTCAAGCAGCGGGTGTGGATGTGGGATGGACGGGAGAATCCTTCCTTCTTTCCTTCTTCTGCATCCATCACAATACAGCATCAGCGAGGCCTTCCATTGGCCGGTGGTGACGACAGCGCTGGTTCTGTCTAATAAATTAGCTGTTTCCTCTAATTCTCTGTTTTAGACCTGAGCGCTGTCTCATTGGTCAATAATAAATCACAACTGTCAACATGTCTCGCCTCGACACATACACACCTGGTGGACACTTGGGGAGCGGTCAAACTGTCGACGCCTGTGCAACATACTCACCATTACGCACAATAAAACACACACTAACCGACACTGACACACACTTCCCTTTTCCCCTCTAAGTGACGACACAACCACACAAACTTTTTCTCCATCTGCGGTGTGTTAGCAGGTGACGCAGAGCTGACACTCTGAGAAGATTAGCTTACGACACTAAAAACCTTGAGCAACCGTTAGCATCACTTCTCAGAATCGAACCCTTTTTTTTGACCAAATGTGAATATATTGTTAGTATCAGGTCGAGGACTTTAGGTTTTGTGTGGCACATATGGAGGTGACAGCCTGACTGGGTGATGCTAGGTGGCTCCACCTAAAGATCACTTTCTGGCATTACTGCCCTAAAAAAACAGCCAATCGTGGCAGAAGACCAGCAGCAAGATTGTTTTTTTTTTTGTTCTTTTGTGCTTTTTCACACAGATCTTCTCATTCGTGTGTGTGCGCGGTGGTGTGTTTGTGTGTGTGCATAAGTTCCGATGTGATTCCCAGACCTGAGAGAGTGACTCAGCGTTCCCAGTGGACCATTAACACATGCACACACACACACACACACACTCATTCATAACTATATTTTTCTCAAGAATTTTAAAGGTACATTTCAGAATGTCTCTACTGGAGAAATGACACAAATTCTTCAGAACATTGGGCAAAAAATCGTAATCATCAGATGCGATGATGTCATTGGTTGAGTTCCTTTTTCGTAATCTTTCTTTGTGCCTTTGTTTTTTTTCCTACTGTTTTGTGGAGTTAGTTTCTGAATTTTTGTGGAGTTCCCTGATGTTTTGACTTTTAAGTTTTATTTTTTTGCTTTTAAGGTTCATGATGTTAACGTTGTGAAGGAACCGCAGATTCCAGATTTTCCTCCTGGAAACAAATGGAGGTTTTTGTTTCCATCGTCAGGAATCCCCCCAAACAACGAGAGCTGGAAATTTTCTGCAGCTGGAATCTTTCCACCAGGAAGCAACAAAATAAAACTCTGGAGAGACCATCACGTCTAAGAGTGTGTGCACGTGTGTGTGTTTATTCCACATGTGTGTGTTTATTATACGTGTGTGTGTGTGTGAGAGAGAGAGAGAGAGAGAGAGAGAACTATGGCTACTGGGTCTGAAGGTTCAGGCAGGACATTTCACCTCACTTCACCCACAGTGGTCAGTGATGACATCAGCAGGCTGGATGACATCACAGCAGCAGGTCAGCTGACCCCCTCCAGGGTCATTGGGCCAATTTTTGCCACATGTGTTCTGTTTGATTGGAGCTGATGTTTGGACTCGATCACAGTGCATTCAAGGACAATCAGATGTTTGGGAATTTAACAGAAGAGAAAAAAAATATACATACAGTTAGACTTCAGAGAAGATGGAGCGGAGTGAGCGGAAAGGAAGGAAGAGTGAAGTGAGGAAGGAAAAATGAGTGTTGGAAAAAGACAAAAAGAAGATGGAAGAAAATTGAAGTTTGTAAAGAGCATAAGGAGATGGAGAAATGTCGTGATGCTCTTGCAGCTGTAACGTTCTTGCTGAGATGGAAGGAAATATGGACCTGTTTGAGAAGTGAAGAAAAGATGGAGAAAAAAAAAGAAAATTAAGAAATGGCAAAGAGGAAATGAGGTAGACAAGAGGAGAAGAGGGAACAAGGAAAGCAAAAGAGGAAGGAGAAAAAAGCACCATGGGAAAAACGATGACGAACCAAGAAG